ATGTATTTGATATACTCCAGCAAATGATGTTTGATTCGTTGTTTTACTTGTGATGCAATATTTACATGTGTTAATAAAAGACAGATCACGCCCACTAAGGGCAGAGCTTCTTTGTACCCAACTGCTGTTAAGTTGGACAATTGAACCTCTCCCCTTTGCGCAAAGTGAATTTTTAAAATCTCACTGGTCTCTGGTTGTCAATTGTTTTATGTTCGGGTGGGTTGTTGTGTTTTCTCTGAGTCCCTAGGTTGAAAATACCGAACAACCCTCCTGCTGCCCTCTGGTTCATTGTGACCCGAGGACAGCAGGAGGGTTAGATGATCCGCTCAGAGTTCTCTCAAAAACAACAACCTGTGTCCTGAGGAGGAGCAGAGACAACAGGTGTTCTCCGTCAGTCTCTCGTCCAATCACAGTTTGTTGTTGTTGACGTCCTCTGGTTGCTTTGGAGATGTAGAATATTAATGAGCCTGTCTGTGGTGGTTCATTTGTCCCAGCGATAAAGAACAGAAACATCGCAGTGCACTGAGGTGAGGTGAAACAAAACATGACGGAAACTAAAGATCAGGTTTGACACGTAGGTAAATTTAGTCTCAGGTTTATAGAACACCTGTTTCTGTTCCACAACAAACTGAAGGTTAGTTTGTATCGTCGGTGCTAAGTCAGGGTGAGAGTCCAACAAACCTTTAGACCAGGTTTCTCTGGGTCAGAGCTCTGTGTAGTGACCGGAAGAACTAGATCTCAGATCCATGTGGTCTCTGCAGGGTAGCGGGGACTCTGCTTTAGAGAGAGGCTGAGTTCAGTTCTGAGTTGAGGTGCTCCACATCCAGAGGAACCAGCTGAGGTGGTTCATCTGGAGAGGACAAACCTGGACACCTCCATAGAAGAACAACTTTGGACATGTCCAACTGGGAGGAAACCCAGGACACAATGGAGAGATTATGGCTGGGTCTAGAAATGAAGACTCCTCCAATCTCAAAACACAAATGTGTCCTCTTTTGCCCCGATTATCCCATGATGCACTACGGCCCGACCAGATTTTTCAGCCTGTAATGGAGGACTAAGTTAAAGAAAGGAATACAGTATATGATGTACTGTATGTATGTATGGATGGATGTTTAGATCAATGATGGATGAATGGATGGATGTATAGAACAATAATGGATGGAAGGTTGATGGATGGATGGATATATAGATCAATGATGGATGGATGAATAGATCAGTGATAGACAAATGGATGGATGGATATATAGATCAGTGAAGGATGGATGGATGGATGTATAGATCAATGATGGATGGATGGATGGGTGGATAGATCAATGATGATGGATGTTTAGATCAATGATAGATGGATGGATGGATGGATCAATGATTGATGGATGGATGGATAGATGGATGGATAGATCAATGTTGGATGGATGGATGGATGGATGGATGATAGATCAATGATGGATGGATGGATGGATGGATGGATGGATGGATCAATGATTGATGGATGGATGGATNTTGGATGGATGGATGGATGGATGGATGATAGATCAATGATGGATGGATGGATGGATGGATGGATGGATGGATCAATGATTGATGGATGGATGGATGGATGGATGGATGGATGGATATAGATCAATGATTGATGGATGGATGGATAGATCAATGATGGATGGATGGATAGATCAATGGTGGGTGGATGGATGGATGGATGGATGGATGGATGGATGGGTGGATGGATGGATGGATGGATGGGTGGATGGGTGGATGGATGGATGGATGGATGGATGGATGGATGGATCAATGATTGATGGATGGATGGATGGATTATAGATCAATGATTGATGGATGGATGGATCAATGATGGATGGATGGATAGATCAATGATGGATGGATGGATGGATGGATAGATCAATGATGGATGGATGGATGGATGATAGATCAATGATGGATGGATGGATGGATGGATGATAGATCAATGATGGATGATGGATAGATCAATGATGGATGGATGGATAGATTAATGATGGATGGATGGATGGATGGATGGATAGATCAATGATGGATGGATGGATGGATGGATAGATCAATGATGGATGGATGGATGGATGGATGGATGGATGGATGGATAGATCAATGATGGATGGATGGATGGATAGATCAATGATGGATGGATGGATGGATGGATAGATCAATGATGGATGGATGGATGGATGTACTTGGTCACAGATCAGGTCCCACTTCTTCTCGTTCTCGTACTGAGACAGAATCTTCACCTTGTCTGGAGGAAGATTCATGGTGTTCTGAGGAGAGACAGAAAACAAGAGTCAGGAAAGAGGACAAGTCCTCTAGAGGACATGTCCTATAAAATGAGGACATGTCCTCTAGAAGACAGGACTCCATCTGAAATCAGCCAAACCTGAATAGATTTCCAGAAAAAACAGATTTGTATAAGACAAACAGAATCCAGTTCTAATCAGTAAAAGTCCAGCAGACTTAATCTGTCCTGAAAAGACTCGAGTCCTGGACCTGTTCAATAATTCAGAGTTCTGCTCGTCTGTTCCGACAGGAGTTTTTGTGACTCTGTTGCCACAACAAACAGAAGAGTTGGTGACATCATTTTGAACCAAAAGCATCAAATTCCATCTTTTAATAGATTTTATAAGAGAGCCGATAAAAACCTTAAACTGAGACGTTTGCTCTAATTATTCTTTAGTTTATAGCAGCCGACACTCAGACCAGTCGGCTGTTTATCAGCTGAAACTGGGCCTATCGGCTTGCACATCCTGAACTTTAGGAACAAACATTTTTTCTTCCGGGAAACTTCAGCCGATCTGATCTGAAATTTTTTAGCTTTGAAACAAACAACAAAAAAAATAAGATTCAGGGACGGTTCCTGAATTAAAGCATTTTCTTTTTCATGGATTAAATGAAAACGTAAAAGAAAACATCTTTCTCTCTGAGCTCAACGCTACTCAGAACATTTACATCCTGTTAAAAGTTCCTGCTGGGAGAAATGCAAAGTTTTATTCAAAACGCAGGAAAACTTGATGGAAAGCTTCTGTAGACTCAGTTCAGGTTTTAGGAACCGGACTGAAGCATCAGCAGAGAAATCCTGAGTCTCATTTTGTAAACAAAACATGCAAATACTGAGAACACACCTTTTGTATCTCTATCCTTGTTAGGACCGTTCATGACTTCCATTCAGTTCTATAGCCTGACCCTAAACCTAAAAATGCACTTCCATCATATTAAGACCTATATTTGGTCCCCATAAAGACTGCTGGTCTTAAGGTAGGTGTGTAAACCAGAAATAATCCCAAAAAGAAAATAAATACAATCACACAGAGAGAGTTTCCCAACAGATTGTTTTGCTGACTCAGCAGTGAAGAAGTTAAATCTGTTGGACAGAGAAAGTTTTGTGGTCAGAGCCCAGCTCTGGTGTCGAGCACAGAGGCGGGTTCTGGGTCTGGACTTCCCTGCACTGAACCATGAAGCTGGGTTCAAAGTGTCTTTGACGTGCATGTCCTTAAAATATAAAAAACAAAAATAAAACATCTTTACGTTTAGGAAACTTGACATAATACATGATTTTACCCATTTTGCCACATAACTGATATTTTCTTTTGACCTTGGCTCATTAAAAGTGAAACAGGAAGTGTGAGAGGTCCCGGGTTCATATCCCGGACGAGCCCCCAATTTGTTACGGCCTGGCTCTGGGGCCATAACACATAAAGGGAAGCAATGCATGGGAAAACTTAAAATTAAATTTATTTAACAAAAATCATGGTTGGATGGAGAAACAAAAGAGCAACAAAAGGAGAAGCCTCGCACAGAGAGCCAGCAGCAGCTCTTCAACTGGATCTCAAGCTCTTCTAGACACTGGCCAGCTGCAAACAGTTGCAATCAGCACCAATCAGGAACGACCCAGAGGAAAGGCCTTGGGCCGTAACAACATCAAAGGGGAACTCTTTAAGAAAAGGTCTTTGTTTATTAAAACATTATTTGAGCTCTAACTCTTCGTCTCTCTGATAGACTCAAAATAATCTTAAAGAAACATCCGATTCCTCTGTGTGCTGTTTACCTGCAGACTTTCCCCTGTGACATCACTTCCTGTCACTTCACATGTGAATATCTCAACAACTGTTCATCTTAACAGTGTGATTTTTTTTTTGCTATAAATTATCAGTGTTATCTTTCCAAACCTGAATTCATATTTATTACAAAAACCTGATGTCACCGGCACTTTAAAGACAAGTCCAGACCCAAGTCCTGCAGACCCTCTATGGAGGAGCTGAAGCTGTTAACAAAATAAAAGCTCAGATGTTTTCCAGTTCTGGTCCGCCTGCCTGTCAGGAACAATCTTATCAGGAGAACAGTGTCACAAAGCTCAGATCTGAGGAGAGAAACGGGTCGATAACAGAACCGGGTCATCTGGTTACATTCTGATCATAACTAGTTTAACTGGGCTCCAATCTGTCTCTGCTTTTATCTTGGTTCTGATTGGTTCAGTTCCAGTTTCATAATAAAAAGTAAATAAAAGAAACATTTGTTGCAGGTTTCAGACATTTTTTAAATTCTTCAGAAACTAAAGTCAGAGCTGAGGTTTTTAAACTCGTGACTTCCTCCTGATTTACCCTGAAGGTCAGACTGAACAGCTGTCTCTGCTGCACATCTGGACTCACCAGAACCGCACAGAACCGCTCCTCCAGCTCCTCCTCAGGGGGCATGGGGGTCTTGGGTCCTGCCGTTGGTTTCCGGGTCAACGTGGAGCCCGGTCCAGATATCTTCCCCTCCTTCACGTCCTTCATCTGAGGGAGTTCTGCACTTCCAGCTGAGTTCCCCATCATTACAAAAGACCCAAAAACTGATCCAGAACCACGAGTCACTGAAGAGTCCTGCGTGACCTTTGACCTCCTGTTATCTGCAGGACGTCCCAGCCTGGAACCATCCTGAAGAAACCCGATGTTTTCCACCTGAGGAGGGCTGAGACTCAGACCTGCACAGACCTGGACTTCATGAAACCTTAGAGGACCTGCTGACAGCTGAGTGAGGAAGAGGAGGAGTTGTTCAGCTTCTTCATCTGATCAAAAATAAAAACTGTTTCTTCTTTAAATATGACACTAACAGGAGTCCTGGTTCTGCTGCTCCTGGATGATCGGACTCTGTGTGCCTCTGAGGTCCAGATCCACAGAGCAGACCCAGCAGCCAAGCCCCGGTCTCTGACAGAAAGCTGAGAGGACTCTGGGTCCTAAAGCCTCCAGTTCAGGCAACACATCAGAAACAGGTAAGACAGACTTCCTCTGAGCTCTGAGCTGCAGCAGTGAAGATCCATCCTCTTTACTCGCTTCTTCCTTTCAGGGTCACTGGTGCCCAAATCCAGCAGTCACAGTGCGAGGGGCGGGGTACACCCTGCAGAAAATATTTTCAGGGGGGCCACTGAAAAACCAGGGGTGGCACACCAAAACTAATATCTACAACATAAAATTTATGACGTGTTTGTAAAAATGACAAATTGAAAACTACGGTAATATAAAGCTACGTATTTTCCAACAGATATTCAATTTGTAATTTCACAGATAATATCACTGATTTTATTACATTCAGAGACAAAAAAAAGAGTAAGTATTTGTAATGTTGGGGGGACCCACTGGTGGGGGGTCTGGGGGTCCTCCACCAGAAAATTTTTTTAAAGAAGTAAATGCCATTTCCTGCATCCTGGTGTATTTTAACAGGTTGTTGAACAGATTTTTACCTACATAAGGAAAACACTTAATATGAGTATTCTATAGGTAAATTCTATATGGTAAATGTGGGGGCTTAAATTAATTCAATTTTAAATTTGATGGGGACAGTTCCCTTCAAAAATTATTTTATTTAAAAATGTCAAAATACATATTTTAAAGACATTTACAAGGAACAAGCTTTTTAAAAATTAAAGCCATTACCTCTTCTATGTCTGTTAAAAGTTTTATTTGCTTGTTGATGTTTACTTTTGTGAAGAAAACCTGTGATTATAAAACTCCAAAACTGGAAATGAAGACTAAAACATGCACAATTACAAACTACATCTACTGTAGTGTTATCACAAACTATTTGCTAATTTCCTTTTTATGTCATATAATAAATATGATTTTGTTCTGTGAGAGAAAAGAGTACCTGGAGAACAGACAGTTGATCTAACAACGTTCTTCCTTAGAGGCAATATGTTGCTTTACCAACTGTGCCACTATACTGCCTAATTTTATAATTTTTATATAATTTTTAAAATTATTTAATTAATATTTGATTAAAATGTATCTATGAATATACGGTGCGCAGCGCTGTGGCTTCTGAATAAATGAAACTGATTTAACACAGTTGTTTATACTTTTAGCAGCTCTTTTTATTCCACAGCTGACCTGCTAAAAATGACAGATTTTCTTTTCTGGATCTCTGACAGGCCGGACTTCAATCTCTGAACTCGTAAAGTTTTTCTTTTTAGTTTTCACTGTCATTTTTCATGAATGGACACTTCCTGATATCTGAGGCAGGAAACACAGCCTTATATGGTGTTTTTGGGGTGGTAATTATGCTAATCTCCTCTCGCGTGCACGAGCAGCTGGATAGAACAGGTGGAATTTACGCAGCTCATTTACACACTTTTCCTGAAGATAGAAGAGTTTGTTGAATCTGACGTGACATGTTCGTACGAACCCTTTGTACGAACAAAAGTAAGAGAAATTTAGGATAAGAATACGAACATGTTCTTGCATGAGGCCCATTGGTTTTAGACTGGTCTGGTTGTCCTTATTCAGAGGTGCTACATTTTAATTTTAATTAATTTTTTTATTTTAAATAAAATATAAATTAATGTTTTTAACTCTATTGTTAAAAAAATCAATGTTTGTTTTTATATTTTTTGAGGCTCTACCGCTCCAAACTGACAGGGTTTACTGGTAAAGATTAGCTGTGGTGGCCAGCTTGAATTGTTTAAACTGGCTAAAGCCTGTCCAGTGGTTTATGAGATATTTTGCTAACAGACACAGGCAGCGACACGATCCGAGCAGAAACAAAGAGCTGCAGGGTTTGAATAAATAATGAGTTCCACAGAAGAACCTGCAGAACTGATCGGACCACAGCAGGTCTGTAACAGGATGCAGGAAGCTACATCATAAAAACATTTTATATTTCTGCATTTAAACACTCAGAGAATAAAAACCTGAAGTTTAATCTGTAAAAATGAACTTGTTCACTGAGGAGAAATATTCTGTGGTTCAGATCTGAAGTAAAACTATTAAAACATCAGGACTGTGATTAAATTTAAAACACAAATCAATCAATTAAAATAAAATAGTGTTTGTGCTGTAAAGCAGTCAAACCTGTTGGAAATGAATATGAGATAAATACAAGGCTGACATCTAGTGCTGAAGATCTGACACTGCAGGAGGATTTTATCTTCCAGTTCAGAGGTTCTCAAACTGGAGTCCCAGGACCCCCAGGGGTCCGCGAGAGGTATCCTGGGGGTCCTCAAAAAATTTCACTAAATTGTTAATTTGGTTTTTATTTTTAAAAATGCATGGAGAACAATGAACTAATAAAACAAACATAAAAACTTAATAAAAATATATATTCCCATGGCATTTAGGGGTTGAAATGACAATAAATTATCTTTTAAAACAGCATGGGTTTTATGAGGGGGTCCCTGGAATTTTTTTCACACTTGTAAGGGGTCCCCAGACCCAAATGGCTTGAGAGCTCCTATTCTAGTTGACCCGTTACTAAATGAAACTTTATATTTCTTAAACACAAAACCCTTTCTGTTTAATGATGGATGGTCTTTCTTCACAAAAAAAGAAGAAAGACAGTCCATCATTAAACAGAGGTGGAGGCCTCCGCTTTCAGCTGTCCCCCTCATACAGAGCGGCCATTGCCAGTATCACTCCACCCTCTGTTAACAATAAGTGTTAATTAGGTGTCAACGATAGCCATGTGATGTGAGTATCAGTCAC